CAGATCTGCAAGCATGGGCTGGTTCCATGATTTATTGAAGATAATGGTTCTCCATTTGGGGAGGTCTATTAGGCAAATGTGATCAGTATTTTAGACTGTTTGGGCTGCTGTAACAAAATACCACTGATTGGGTGATTTATAAACAACAGGCGTTTATTTCTCACAGTTCTGAAGGCTGGAAGTTGAAGATCAGGGCACCAGAGTAGTTAGGTCCTGGAGAAGGCTGTCATCCAGTTTGTACACGACTGACCCTCACACGGTGGGAGAGAGGTGGGGTTTCTGGAGTCTCTATTGTAAAAATAGTAATTCCATTCATAAGGGCTCCACCCTCATGACCCAAACACCTTCCAAAGACCCCACTTCCTAATACCATTACATTGGGCATTAGGATTTCAACATATGAGTTTTGGGAGAACACAAACACTCAAACACAGCAATCAAGGAAGGGATTTTCAAGTGATCTCGGTGGGCAGAATGTAAGATTACTCAGCACACAGAGAGGGTGCACTGGACAAGATGGAAAGGAACCCACTTGGGTGCAATTGCAGGGTTTTAGACCATCAGGATTAATTCAGGTGTATGTGGTTTCTCTAGGTTGGGTTTCTGGCTACTTCCAGAAATCTAGAGCCAGATTTTTCAGGTTCATATTTCCTACTGCATCCTATACATCTTTCCTAGGCTCCCAAAAACCTCACAGCTTCAAAATATCCTTAACTAACCAAACCTGCTTCTCTCTCTATTTCCTTTATTTCTTCAATCAATGGCAACAGCAACCATCTCACTATCCAAGAGAAAACTTGGGAGTTATTCTAGACTCCTACCCCTTTTCCTAGTGCCCTGTCACCTCTTTATGTCCCCAGCTGCCATCTATTTCACTCCTTGACTTATCTGGAATCAGGACCACCCTCTTTAAAAGTGCCCTGCTGTAGTTTGTACCTTTGTCATTTTTCATTTGGATCACTCCAAAAGTTTCTTAACTGTCTTTCCTACCCTCCCCTCATCCCCTCCAGTACATCTTTCTCAGTGCCTCCACTGTGAACCTTCCAGAGTCCTTCAGTGGTCCCAACTCTGGCATGAAGCCCTCTCTGATCTGCCCTTTCCTCTCTCTCCAGCTCCTCCCCTGCACCCTGGGCTCCAGTCATGCTGAACTACTGTCTGTCCCCTTTTGTACTTGGCTCCTCAAGCCACAGAGCCCTGCATTTATATATGCCTGGAAATTTCTTCCATAATTCAGATTAAGCTCACCTCTGGGGAAGCCTTCTTTGACACTTCAGGCTGATTTATGAGTCTCCCTTGAGTTTTCCTCTCCATCCATACCTGGCAAAGTGCAGCTTTATAATTTAGTTTTCCATCTCCCTCATAGGATAGTGAACTCTGAGGCCATGGTTAAATATAAGATGATGGCAGCACTCCACATCTCATGAGCTCTGTTTGTTGACCACCTTGAGGAAAGGCCATACTAACTCAAAGAAGCAGTAGTGGCAGAGGGTCAAGCAGTAGCATCCAGTGCCAAGCCTCAGTGCAAGCTGTAAATGGAGCCTGGGACCCAAGCTCCTGGTAGTGGGAGTCTTTATAAGCAGTCCTATAGTAGTCTTTGAGCATTATGCCAGATGCATAGCCAATTCTCTGGCTTTCCTGGAGATTTGGTGAACTGCATAATATCTTGAAGACATCTTTTTTTCGTTAAACCAATTAGATTGGCTTCTGTGGTCTGCAACCAGGAACCCTCACATAGACCTCTGAACTGGGAGTCCAGTCATCTCACTCCTGCTGTTCCCAGCCTCTGTCACATGGAGTCACTATGGAGAAGCTGGCTCTTCACTCTCCAGGCCTGACTCTGGTCCACTCTGCTGCGAAGCCTCCAGGTCCCAGGTCACTGTGCAGACTGGTTTCGTCCTTCAAGGAGTCAAGATGCTATGTTCTCCCAGCTTGCAGCCCTTAGTACTCAAACCCAGACATCTTCTAAGATGCTACATGCTCCAGGTTTGCTGGGTCAGGACAAGGTGGTGATTTTAAAATATGCCACAAATTTTTTGACACCTCTCCCATCAAGAGATGGATTATATTTTTTCCCTTTAACCTGGTCAGGTCTTTGCAATGGAAGCAAGGCTAAATGACTTCCAAGGCCAGGTTTATAAAAACAAATGCTGTTCCTGTTTGCAGCTTCTCTTGGGACACTTGTCAGTTGCTAGGTGAGAAGTCTAGTGTCCCTGAGACCTCATGTTGAGAGCTCAAGTGGAGAGACCACATGGAGAGAGAGATGTCAGAGAAGCCCCAGCTGTTTGAGTTCTCCCAGCCCAAGCACCAGACATGTGAGTGAAGAAGACTTCAAGATGACCCTTACCCCAGCCCCGTCTGACATTTGAATCACTCCAAAAGTTTCTTAACTGTCTTTCCTACCCTCCCCTCATCCCCTCCAGTACCTCTTTCTCAGTGCCTCCACTGTGAACCTTCCAGAGTCCTTCAGTGGTCCCAACTCTGGCATGAAGCCAGAGTTGAAGAACTGGCCCAGTCAATCCCCAGACACAGGAGGAAATAATAATTAATTGTTATTTTGATCAATATCTTAGGGTCTTTCTAACACAGCCATAGATAACCAAATACTCTCTTGCATTCAGTGACAAAAGGAATTAAAAATCTGGACAGCATGGGAGGGGAGGAGGAGTTAGTGTTTAATGGGCACAGAGTTTCATTTTGCAAAGATGAAAAATTTCTGGAGATGGTGATGGTCACACAACAATGGGAACATACTTAATGCTCCTGAATGGTATACTTCAAAATGGTTAAAAAACAAAACAAAACAAAACAGTGTATGTATATGTTGCCAAAATTTTTACAAAGGAAAAAAAAATCTGGGCAGTAAGCAATTTTGGAATGTATGTAGAAATGGGCATTTCTATTAAAACAATCAGGCTTTATCCAGGACTGAGCCCCAGGCATTGAAGGTGATATTTATGTGAAAAATATATCTGTCTTCAGGATGATGACAGCTGCATTTTAAAGAATAATAATAAAAGCAGCTAATGTTTCTTCACTGAGCACCTCCTACGAACCCAGTGCTAGGGATGCGGGCAGAAGGCAGGCCGTCTCTCTTCTCCTGTGTCTCACAGTGTAGTAAGGGGAAGGCAGTAGTGGGTGTGTGAGCATCATGGGGAAGAGGCAGAGGAACAAATGAAAACGGAACATGTTGGGTGATGACAAGTGCTGTGCTGAGATTACAGCAGGTTCACGTGATAGAAAGCCTGCTGGGGTGTCTGGGTGGCTCAGTCGATTGAGAGTCCAATTTTGGCTCAGGTTGTGGTCTTAGAGTTTGTGGGTTTGAGCCCTGCATTGGGCTCTCTGCTGCCAGCGCAGAGCCTGCTTCAGATCCTCTGTCCCCTCCCCCCCACCCCGTCCCTCCCTCACTCACGCATGCTCTCTCTCTCTCAAAATATAAACATTAAAAAAAAGAGAAAGAGACTGGGGCCTATTGTACATTGGGTCCACAGGAGAGCCCTGAAAAAGTGCCACTTACTGAGGAGGGAAGGACAGATTTAAGAAGGGGCAGTTTTGGGTTGCCCATGTTTCTTTTGAACTGTTATTAGATACCCAGATGGAGTTGTCAAGTGCTCAGTGAAATACTAGTCTGGAGTTTAGAAAGACCGGGGCTGGAGATAGGGGTTTGTGAGTCACGGGACTGTGGATGGGAGTTAGAGATGACTCTAAGTAAGATCACTAGGGAAAACACAAAGTGAAAGAAGTGACCAGAAGGAAGAGGTTGAGAAGGATTCCAAGATCAGCAGCCACGGAGGCAGCAGACCAGGCAGAGTATGATGTTGACTATGTCTACTGCTGCTGCAGCAGTGGGGGATGAGCCAGTCACACTGTAAGGTTTGACGCCCATGAGGGCAGTGGTTGTGTTGTGGAGTCTGTGGAGAGGTTTAAAAAGAGGGTTAGGGAGGACTTGTGAAATGGGGAACTAAAGACAAATCCTTAAAGAGAACTTCTAACACTTTTTTTTCAACTGTTTTTTTTATTTTTTTATTTTTTAATAAATTTTTTTTTTTAATTTTTTTTCAACGTTTTAATTTATTTTTGGGACAGAGAGAGACAGAGCATGAACGGGGGTGGGGCAGAGAGAGAGGGAGACACAGAATCGGAAACAGGCTCCAGGCTCTGAGCCATCAGCCCAGAGCCTGACGCGGGGCTCGAACTCACGCACTGCGAGATCGTGACCTGGCTGAAGTCGGACGCTTAACCGACTGCGCCACCCAGGCGCCCCTGTTTTTTTTTTTTTAAATGTTTATTTTTGAGAGCGAGAGAGAGACACAGAGCGTGAGCGATGGAGGGGCAGAGAGAGAGAGGGGGACACAGCATCTGAAGCAGGCTCCAGGCTCTGAGCTGTCAGCACAGAGCCCGATGGGAGGCTTGAACCCACAGACCTACCAGATCATGGCCTACGCTGAAGTCGGATGCTTAACTGACTGAGCCACCCAGGAGCTCCGAGAACTTCTAACAGTTAAAAGAAGCAGAGAAACGGGACAAGAGCTGTGGGGTCAGTTATTTCTCTGAGACAAGTACTTTGCAACCATTTTACTTTAGTATGTGTCTCCATTTTCTCAGAATTCTAGTTTCCATTTTAAAGGTAGAAAATGAGACACAAAGAAGATCATGAAGTGCCCAGGGTCAAGTAATTAGTAGGTGGTAGAATTGGGGTTTGAATACAGGCTTATGTGAATCAAGTATCATGCAACTAGCAAAACCTTTAGTATAGCCAATATACCATTCCTGTATGAAGAGATAATTTAATCACATTTTATAATAAACAAAACATGTATGCTCGACTAAAATATTTATTTGATAATTTACAGCAAAGTTCTAATATGGCTTTGTTAGAGATCTTTAAAAATATCCAATAAAATGTGCTTTATTATTTTTTCCTTAGAGAAGTACTAATCCTGTAGTATCATTTCAATCAAAATCCAACTCCCAAGAGGAAAACAGCAGAAGAGATCACAATTTCATATATTGTACTGAGAAATAAGAGACCTTCCTACATGATAGCTAATCCAGTCAAAATAATTGGCGACTTTAGTGTAAACACCAGGGAACTCTGGTTTTCCGCAGTTTTCACCCCAACTCACAACACCCCAAACATAAGTCACATTGTTGATATCTTGACAGACTAAGGGGCCTCCAGAGTCCCCTTTACAGGCATCGATGGAACCGTCATCTGTACCTGGAAAAGACAAAGGGAAAAGAAAATCACACATGTACTTCCATTTGCTGAGGCCACCATGCCAACTTCCTGTCTCCTCCACCAATGCGTGTACCAACTTTGGCTCTCTTACACTTTCCTAACACGAAATAACACATAATCTCTTACAGGTCCCTACTGGGCACATACAGTTGTATACTTTGTCTTCTGCTCATTCTGCAAATTTAGTGAGTGTTTCCCTTGCTTCCTCTATTTTATGCAAATTTATACTCTGATGAGATTGCAATCTGAAAGTGGCATCCAAGGCTGATTGGGAAAATAATAGGAATACTTAGTGCTTATTGAGTGCTTAGTATGTATTAGCCATTCGTTGTTTTAATCCTAAACAACAACCCTACGAGGCAAGTATTATTATCCCTATTTTAAGATGAGACAAATAAGGCACAGAGAGGTTAACTAATTCGTCCAAGGCCATACAGTTAATAAGTGGCAAGAGGTTGGACTTGAAATCAGGCACCCAGACCTCAGAGCTTTTCCTCTTAATTGTGTTAATTGTCTTCCAACAGGTTTTGTGAAATTCTCCCCTTTTGTCCTCTGGAATTCCGAACTCCATTTAAGAAGGGAGGGAGGGCACAGGGAATGGTCTGTTTATTTTCTTCTCACTCTTAGGACTTTCTAAGGTTTTTAAGTCAGTGATCCAAAAAGTTACAGGATGTCAATAACTTTGCATTTTTCTGTAATACACTATTTATAAGTGGTTTTAATAAAGCATCCTAGGGGTGCCTGGGTGGCTCAGACAGTTGAGTGTCTGACTCTTGGTTTTGGCTGAGGTCATGATCCCTGGGTTGTAGGATCGAGCCCTGTGTCCAGCTCTGCCGTAAGTATGGAGCCTGTTTAATAATCACTCTCCCTCCCTCTGCTCCTCTCCCCAACTTGCGCATGTTCTCTCTCTCTCTCAAATAAAAAAATTAAAAAAGCATCCTAGGGGCGCCTGGGTGGCGCAGTCGGTTGAGCGTCCGACTTCAGCCAGGTCACGATCTCGCGGTCCGTGAGTTCGAGCCCCGCGTCGGGCTCTGGGCTGATGGCTCAGAGCCTGGAGCCTGTTTCCGATTCTGTGTCTCCCTCTCTCTCTGCCCCTCCCTCGTTCATGCTCTGTCTCTCTCTGTCCCAAAAATAAATAAACGTTGAAAAAAAAATTAAAAAAAACAAAAAACAACAAAAAAAAAAACATCCTAAATGCATTGCCCTGCCTGGTTCCCTGCCCTTGGGTCACCACCAAAGTAGGAACTGTTGTAGCTGTGTTAGGTAGGGGTACTAGCAACACTATGATATTAAAGAAGACACTGGCAGGTCTCATAAGAAGTGCAATGGGATTTCTGAGGAGGGAGAATTTACTTCCAACTGGACCCATTTGAAATGAGATAACTCAGATTTTTATGTAGAAGAAGTTTGGGTTTGGATCCTGGACATATCACTTCTTGTCTGTAAGACTTCGGGCAAGTTTTACACCTGCTCTGCATCTCAGTTTCCCATTTACTAAGATCCCTAATTTTGCAGATGAGGAAACTTGCTCAAGGTCACATGAGTAGTAATTGGTAAAAACTGAGATATAAACCCAGGCAGTCTGGATGCAGAGTCTGTGCTCTTAGTTACTTGCTATACTGCTGTATGATAGCATAAGGAAGATTTTTCTTCTTAGTTTAGCATGAGGGAACTTGAACCAACAGGAAGGGAAGCAACAGCCAGAAGGTCCAATTGAAGTGTCCAGGGCCCAGAGCAAGGGTGCAGATTTGGTGAGGAGGAGAGATGGTTGGTAGAGGGTATACGTACACATCTTAGAGAAACCACTTAGTGCTTACCTGCACATTCCATTTTTTTTTCAAAGTAGCGACCCGGGTAAAACTTGGAGCAGTTGTCTATTAGCTTAACTTCACCCCAGTGAAGTGAATAGACTTTTTGGTTATCTAAGCATAGTGAGAGAGCAAACAGACATTTACAAGTCACAAATGAGGAATACCAATAAATACTTATTCTCATAACTTAGTGAACCATGAGGAATATAGATGATTATATACATATTCCCTAATACATTATAGACTTCTGAGATAGTTCATTAGCATATTTAATCACACACTGCTCAGATGTCCAGTTTTTACAACTGTCTTTCTAAAAATAGCTAAGGGGTTGGGGCACCTGGTGGCTCAGTCGGTTGAGCGTCAGACTTTGGCTCAGGTCTTGATCTCACAGCATGGGTTTGATCCCATCGGGCTTTGTGCTGACAGTGGGGAGCCTGCTTCAGATACTCTGTCTCCCTCTCTCTCTTTCTGACCCCCCCCCCACCCCTGTTCATGCTCTGTCTCTCAAAAATAAACATTAAAAATAAATAAAAATAAAGATAGTTAAGGGGCATTACAGAACACATGCCCTAAGTCACACTCATTTAATAAAGACCTGAGATGAAGAAGGTATACTCCTTCGCATCTGATTGCTGAGTCTAGTGGGGGAGCTGGGTAGGAGTCAGTGATCAGCATTTTCTAACATAAATAGCTCCTATCGTTTTACAATCCTGCATTTCCTTGAAAGTGCTTCTTAGAGTGAGAACATCTTTTCAACGTAAGGAGTTAAATGAAGAAAATATATATGAAGTTATCAGTGTGTATGTGTTTTTATGTGTCTAAGGAACTCCATCTCCTAAGTGATTTGAAAGAGAATCTAGGATTTCCTTTTCATTTAAGTTAGAGATTTGGGACTTGAAAATTTTTCATCCACAGAAAGAGAAGTGGCAGGCACTGTTGCTTATTGACAGACCAGGGAAGATGAGGAAAACGTTAAGAATACAGGGTGAGATGTCTCTGGTATAAGGAGTGAATCTTTGCCCCATCTCTCCTCCCCCTTTTCTCCAGCTTTCAGCAAATGTTATGCTGTAGGAAGGCAGGGACTAGGCCTGATTCACTAAATGCTATGCCAGCACCCAGCCTCATGCTAGCACAAAGTAGCTGCTTAATAAATATTTATGTAATTCATTAATCCATGAACTCAGTAATTCAATTACACTAAACATCTTATGCCAAATGACATACCCCCTCAGTTAATCTATAAGCTATCGGGAGACAGAGACTTCTGGCTAATCCTGAGAGGACACCTCCACGGATCCTAGCACTGTAGTGAGCACATTGTAGTTAACTGTAAAACTAATATTCTTCTCTTCTGGGAAGTGGGGGAAGACAAAACTCCACCAAAGTATATGGCAAATTAGGAAGGAGTTTCTTCTTTTCTCCTTCAAGTCCTACCTAAAAGGTAATTTTACGATGCTACCTTCTTCAGGTTAAGAGCTTTTTTTTTTTTTTTTTTTTTTTT